AAAATTTCCCCAAAATTCCCCAAAAATCCCAAAAAATCCCCAAAATCCCCCAAAATCCAAAAAATTTCCCCAAAATTCCCCAAAAATCCCAAAAAATCCCCCCAAAATTCCCCAAAATTCCCAAAATATTCCCCAAAATCCCCCCAAATTCCCCCAATTCCCCCGAATTCCCCGAATCCTGCTCCGATTCCCTCTCCTTTCCCAAATTCTCCATTCCCGAGTTTTTTATTTGCATTTTCCCATTTTTTACCATTTCCCCCCCATTTTTATTTTACATTTTCACCGTTTTTTCCTGGATTTCTCAGTTTTCCCCCAGATTTCTCCCAATTTCCCGGGATTTCTCTGGAATTCCAGGGAATTTCCACCCCAAACCCTCAATTCCTTTCATTTTTTACCGCAATTCCCCCTTTTTTATTTGCGTTTTCCCCATTTTTTACCGTTTTCCCCCCATTTTTTTCATTTATGGTCATTTTTTTTCCGTTTTTTCCCATTTTCCCGGGATTTTGCCCCAATTTCTCCGGGATTTCTCTGGAATTGCAGGGTGGACGTGGCTCACCTCAAACCCTCAATTTTTAATTATATTTTCCCCATTTATTTACAGTTTTTCCCCATTTTTTTACCATTTTTCCTTCATTTTTTTCCATTTTTCTCCATTTTTTTTGTGATTTTCCCATTTTCCTGGGATTTTGCCCCAATTTTCGAGGATTTCTCTGGAATTTCAGGGTGGACTTTGTGATTTTCCCATTTTCCTGGGATTTTGCCCCAATTTTCGAGGATTTCTCTGGAATTTCAGGGTGGACGTGGCTCACCCCAAACCCTCAATTTCCCCTCAATTTTTAATCACATTTTCCCATTTTTATTTGCATTTTCCCCATTTTTTATCATTTTTCCTCCATTTTTTTTTCATTTTTCTCCATGTTTTTTCCGTTTTTTCCCATTTTCCCGTGATTTTGCCCCAATTTCCCAGGATTTCTCTGGAATTCCAGGGTGGACGTGGCTCACCCCAAACCCTCAATTTTTAATTACATTTTCCCCATTTTTATTTGCGTTTTCCCCATTTTTTATCATTTTTCCTCCATTTTTCTCCATTTTTTTTCCGTTTTTTCCCATTTTCCTGGGATTTTACCCCAATTTCCCTGGGATTTCTCTGGAATTTCAGGGTAGATGTGGCTCACCCCAAACCCTCAATTTCCCCTTCATTTTTTACCACAATTCCTCCTTTTTTATTTGCGTTTTCCCCATTTTTTTACCGTTTTCCTCCATTTTTTTTCCATTTTTGGTCATTTTTTTTCTGTTTTTTCCCATTTTCCCGGGATTTTGCCCCAATTTCCCGCATTTTTTTTCTGTTTTTTCCCATTTTCCCGGGATTTTGCCCCAATTTCCCGGGGATTTCTCTGGAATTTCAGGGTGGACGTGGCTCACCTCCTGCTCTACCACCTCAGCGTCTGCTGCAAGAAGAAATATTTCGATTTGGAGCGGGAAATTCTCCCCTTCGCCAATTCCAACTGGGACGCGCTGCTGCTCGGCCCGGTCAGCCCAAAACGGGGCAAAAAACCCCGAAATCGGGAAAAAATTCACAACTGGGGGGGAAATATCGATTTTTGGGGAAAAAAATACCGGATTTGGGGAAAAAAACACGGATTTTTGGGGAAAAATAGGGATTTTGGGGGAAAAAATATTGATTTTTTGGGGAAAAATTCGGATTTTTGGGGGGAAAAATTTCGATTTTTGGGGAAAAAATCACAGGTTTTGGGAAAAAGAAGCTGGTTTGGGGGGAAAAATGGATTTTGGGGAAAAATCGTGGGTTTTGGGGAAAAATCCTGATTTTGGGGAGGGAAAAATCCTGGGTTTGGGAGAAAAATCTTGATTTTTGGGGAAAAATTACAGGTTTTGGGGAAAAAAATCCAGGATTTGGGGAAAAAAACCCGGATTTTGGGGGAATAACAGCGGGGTTGGGGAAAAAATGCTGATTTTGGGGGAAAATATGGATTTTTGGGAAAAAAATTGTGGGTTTTGGGGAAAAAAAATCCTGATTTTTGGGGAAAAAACCCTGGATTTTTTGGGAAAAATCCTGATTTTGGTGGGAAAAATCCTGGGGTTGGGGGGGAAAAATTTTGCTTTTTGGGGAAAAAATGTCAGGTTTTGGGAAAAAGAATCCTGGTTTGGGGGGAAAAATGGATTTTTGGGGGAAAAAATCGTGGGGTTTGGGGAAAAATCCTGATTTGGGGAGGGAAATAAAACAGGTTTTTGGGGGGAAAATCACAGGTTTTGGGGAAAAAATGCCTGATTTGGGGGAAAAAATGGATTTTTTGGGAAAAAACTGTGGATTTTGGGGAAAAACATCCTGATTTTTGGGGAATGAACATGGGTTTTAGGGAAAAATGCTGATTTTGGGGGGAAAAATTCCAGGTTTGGGGGAAAAAATGGATTTTTGGGGAAAAAATTGTGGGTTTTGGGGAAAAATTGTGGGTTTTGGGGAAAAAAATCCCAGTTTTGGGGAAAAAAAAATCCTGATTTTTGGGGAAAAAAAATCCTGATTTTTGGGGAAAAATCCTGATTTTGGAGGGAAAAATCCTGGGTTTGGGGGGGAAAATTTCGATTTTTGGGGAAAAAATCACAGGTTTTGGGAAAAAGAAGCTGGTTTGGGGGGAAAAATGGATTTTTGGGGAAAAATCGTGGGTTTTGGGGAAAAATCCTGATTTGGGGAGGGAAAAAAACCAGGTTTTTGGGGGGAAAATCACAGGTTTTGGGGAAAAAATCCCAGATTTGGGGGAAAAAATGGATTTTTTGGGAAAAAACTGTGGATTTTGGGGAAAAACATCCTGATTTTTGGGGAATAAACATGGGTTTTAGGGAAAAATGCTGATTTTGGGGGGAAAAATTCCAGGTTTGGGGGAAAAAATGGATTTTTGGGGAAAAAATTGTGGGTTTTGGGGAAAAATCCTGATTTTGGGGAGGGAAAAATCCTGGATTTGGGAGAAAAATCTTGATTTTTGGGGAAAAATTGCAGGTTTTGGGGGAAAAAATCCCGGATTTGGGGAAAAAACCACGGATTTTGGGGGAATAACAGCGGGGTTGGGGAAAAAATGCTGATTTCGGGGGAAAATCCTGGGTTTGGGGGAAAAAATGGATTTTTGGGGGAAAAAAATGGATTTTTGGGAAAAAAAATCCTGATTTTTGGGGAAAAATCCCAGGCTTTTGGGGAAAAACCGGATTTTTTGGGGATAAATCGTGGGTTTTGGGGAAAAATCCTGATTTGGGGGGGAAAAAATGCCAAGTTTGGGGAAAAAAAAGGGATTTTGGGGAAAAAAAAGGGATTTGGGGAGAAAATTGCGAGTTGTGGGGAAAAAAACTGTTTTTTTGGGGGAAAAATTGTAGGTTTTGGGGAAAAAAATCCTAATTTGGGGTTTGGGGAAAAATTCAAAATTAGGGGCAAAAAATTCTGATTTTGGGAGGGAAAAATTCCGGGTTTGGGGGGGAAATCTCGATTTTTGGGGTAAAATCGTGGGGTTTTGGGAAAAAAATCCCAGTTTGGGGGATAAAGATAATCTTGATTTTTGGGAAAAAAGTTTGGGTTTTTGGGAAAAAAATCCCGGATTTTGGGGAAAACACGGAGTTGGGGAAAAAACTTGATTTTGGGGAAAAAAATCCTGATTTTGGGGGAAAAAAATCAAGATATTTGGGGGAAAAATTGCAGGTTTTGGGGGGAAAAAATCCCTGATTTTTGGGGAGAGAAAATATCCTGGGTTTTGGGGAAAAAAAAACTGTTTTGGGGGGTAAAATCCTGATTTTGGGGGGAAAATCGCAGGTTTGGGGGAAAAAATCCGAATTGGGGAAAAAAATCCGAATTTGGGGAAAAAAATACGAATTTGGGGAAAAAATCTCAATTTTGGGGGAAAAATTCCCCGATTTTGAGGGAAACAAAAAATACAATTTTTGGGGGGTGGAAATCCTCTGATTTTTGGGCTGGACCCCAAAAAATGGGAATTGGAGCCCAAAAATGGGAATTTGGAGCCAAAAATGGGAATTTGGAGCCAAAAATGGGGATTTGGAGCAGAAAAATGGGAATTTGGACCCAAGAAGGGGAAATTGGTGTCCAAAAATGGGAATTAGGACCCAAAAATGAAAAATGGGAATTTGGACCCAAGAAGGGGAAATTGGTGTCCAAAAATGGGAATTAGGACCCAAAAATGGGAATTTGGACACAAAAATGGGAAATTCGACCCCAAAAATGAGGATTTGGACCCAAAAATGAGGATTTGGAGCCAAAAATGGGAATTTGGACCCAAAAATGGGAATTTGGAGTCCAAAAATGGGGATTTGGAGCCAAAAATGGGAATTTGGAGCAGAAAAATGGGAATTTGGAGCCCAAAAATGAGAATTGGACCCAAAAATGAGAATTTGGACCCAAAAATGGGAATTTGGACCCAAAAATGGGAATTTGGAGCAGAAAAATGGGGATTTCAACCCCAAAAATGGGAATTTGGACCCAAGAAGGGGAAATTGGTGTCCAAAAATGGGAATTAGGACCCAAAAATGGGAATTTGGACACAAAA